TGTCGTGTACGACATGCGGATGTGCGTTGTTGTGCTGTGCCTCAGGGGATTGGATTCTCCTTCTCGTCACAGATTCTTCAGCTCCCGTCGCACTGGGTGTTACCTGGTGTGCTAGCTGGATGAGGACTTGAAGGAGCAATTGAGCGCCGTTCGTCATTCTGCTCTACCACTTGCTCTTTGACGTTGGACTTGAGCCGAGCGGATGGAACTGCAACATGGACACGCACTAAAACATCACATTCTGGGTTGTGCGCGTTGGCCGTTCTTGCGTGTCAGTTGCCGTTGTTGTTCATTGTGCCATTCTTATTCTTGTTGTTGTTGCGCGGAGGACAGGCCGGTGTTCTGTTCCAGTTCCTGATACCTCCCCTTTCGTTGCTTGTGTTGTTGTTGTTATAATCTCCGTTGTGTCTGGGGGACTCCTGATTGTGATGCCTTCGCCCGCATTATTTTGTTCTGTTTCAGCCGAGGACGGCTGGGATTTTCTCTACGGGGGAGGGTAGTGTAATGCGGGCGTAAATGGGCGGGGCGGATATGACGATCCGAGAGGGAGGAGTCAGGGTGATGTGGGGGAGAAGTTATAGCGGGGAGACAGGAAGCTATCTGGGGAGTCGGGGGAGTGAAGGGTGGTGAACACGTTGGGTGGTCGCCGTGCCTCAGCCTGGTGGCTGAGGGGCTCATGACGGTGCCAGCCAGCGGGGTGGAAGAGAGAATGGAGGATTGAGGTTGGAGATGGCGAGGTAGCCATAGAGGCCACGAAGGGCTAACTTGGGAGGTGGCGAGATCGCCACGCACGGAGGAACAGGGAGCAGCGATGGAGCTGCTGTGGGGGCAGCCGGAGGGCTGCACCAAGAGCCTGCAGCGGAGCTGCAGGAGCGTGGAAGGCTACGGGAGCGAAGGCAGATGTGGGGTTGCCAGGGAGAGAGTCTCAGGAGGAGTGCCGTGTGGGAAGGAGAACGCGAACCCCAAATAAAGGACACGAAGACAGAAAGAAGTGTCTAAGTCATTTTATTACAAATACATAATCAAACAATTAAATACACAATAAAGGAGTGAATGAGAAGACAAGTGAATGATTTTACTGCACAACATTACGCATATCGGACAGTGTAAGGAATTGGCCATACATTCCGTGCTAGACCCAGGTGAAGTCTAGAGGCTCAGCGAGGCTTTCCTGATCAAGTAAAATATGTATTACATGTAGAAACATTATCTCTTTATGCCAATACTGACAAGAGAAAATTGCATGTAGATGTAAAAACCATAGTATGGAAATGTCTGTCACAACAAAAATCCGCTTGCCTTGCTTTGTTGTCTATGTTACTCTGCGTGCCTTGCTTATCACAGCGTTTTGGAAATTTGCAACGGAGATTATTAGTGCCAGGGACTCATTAGTGCAAATGGAGGCTTTTATTTGTGAGCATGAGGATCATTTGAGGCTCAGCTCAAAAATCTCTCCAGACACATAGTTAGCCAGCAAATGATTATCGTGGCGATGTTTTCCTCATCGGCATTTTCTCTATGAACGCAGGGATTACTTAAACAGCAAGCTGCCTTAGGCGCCTTTTAATTGGCATTATGTTAGATGGTTGTTATTTGCCTTAATTAGCACCTCCGATTAGCACGGTTGGCTACGTACGGTGCGAAAGAAGTTCATCATGCATAAATAATTGGAGCCGAGGAGGCAGTGTTAACAATAACAATGACAAGGGTGCTGCTTTGCATTGATACAGTACTCCATTACTATGTGCGAATTACCCAGAATGCATTTAATCTCATCGGATCTTGGAAGATAATCAGGGATGAGTATTGCTTGGATGAGCGCTCACCATGCATACAATAGGTGTTATTGGCTGCTGCGGGGCTACGTGAGCAAATGCAATGTTGTACTCTACTATGCCCCCCACATTTCCACATCTGCACTGACCATTGTGGTGCAGTATAGTCAAATAACCCCCACAACCGACATGTCATGGGAAGGATCTCATCCAGCAGTAGATTGATGAAAGGGCTGTATATGTACATATATTATTTCGGATGAAAAAATAAACACATACAGGGTGAATTTTGATGATTGTGTTGCAGTCGAAACGTCGTGAGAATTGTATTGTTTTATATTTGTATTATTTTATCATTTCCCTTCTACGTGACTTTACCGAAAGAACAAAGAATATACATACAGGGTGCTTCAAAAACATGTTAACACTTATATGGGACGCTCGTTTTTAATGTAAAAATAACGGATACACTGCAGCATGATAACAAATGAAATGTTAATCGCTTCAAAAAGTCAAAGAGTCTCCCACTTGTTCGCCATCATTGTCAACACGTGCCTGAAATCTTCTCCAGGTGGTCTCCAGAGCCCGAAGGCACATTTCTGTGGTGTTGTTGCAAATTCTCCCAAGTGTTAATATTTTTTTGAAGCACCCAGTATATAGATGTAGTGACATCGCGGATGTCACTGATGAATGCCGGCTCTAGCGAGGCACGGCGTGCGATGTACCGTCATCGCGGACACCCCGTAGGTGGGTGTAGTACCAGCCCTAGAGGGGGCTCGGTGAGTGCTGGGATAGTGCTCAGTTGCACTACGCGTGGCGTGCAGTGCTGACCCCTACAGGAGGGAGTGTGGGAGTGTCAGCCTTGGGATGAGGTTATCCTCGGCCAGGGGTGGGGAACCTTTTTTCTGCCAAGGGTCATTTGGATATTTATAATATAATTTCCGGGCCAAACAAAATTATCAACTTAAAAATTAGCCCGTTATATTTGGTCAAACATTTCATTAACTCACCCCTAATGCGATGGTTGGAACTGCTTCTCTTTGGTGAGGCGTTTGATGTTAGCTGGTATTGATGATGTTACTACTCGCAATTGCTTTTCCAGGTTTGCTCCTAGCTTTATTGAATTTCGAGTCCTGCCTGCGGTTGCCTTGGCAGGGCCAGACGAAATGATTTCGCGGGCCTTATACGGCCCGCGTGCCGGACGTTCCCCACCCCTGCCCTAGGCCAGGAGACTCTGGTTGACCCTGGAAGGCACGTGACAAGTAAGATCGACACAGGGGCCCCAGGCGGGGGCGAGGGGGTGGTCACGTGTCAGGGTGAGATCCTACGGGAAGGGTCGAGAAACGACAAGAGGTTTCTGGAAGGTGGTCGTGGCCACGGGCGGGGGCAAGCCACGACCCGGGAGCATATAAACCGGGACCCCACAGGGACCGGGGTTCTGCGTTGCTGTTGTCATCCGAAGATCTACGATCTACGTCCGAGAAGAAGTCACCAACACGTGGACGAGGACCCGAACCAGGGTCCTGTCCGTTGTAGCTACTCCCAGTAGCGAGCGTAGTAGGCCTGGTGGTCCACCACCCTAGGTTATCTGGTGAAGGGGTAGTAACCCCTTTGTGTTAATGTGTTGGTGTTAATAAATGTGTTGCCTCCAAAGAGTACGTCTGCGACCCAGTTGAATCCACTATAACTAATCCACTACATATACACCAATAAAATCGTTAGATACAAATGTCAGCTATGCCCAAGGGCATCGTTACCCGAGCACAAAGATGTTTCAGAAAATCTAATGGAATTCGTAATCATTCGGAGAAAATGGAAATTTACGGCAGTAAGTTAATCAATTTCAGATGATGTATAAAAAAAAACTAGGGCCTTTCCATTGACACACACTGGCCCGTACGCTGTCTGAACACATCTTAATGTATAAAGAACTACAGACCTTCGAAAATAGTTGCCTTCTGTCTTGTCTATCATTCCTTAGCGATTGTGAGATGCACTTTGCACGAACGACAGACGATGCTACATATTAAACTAAACGTTGCTATCGTATATTAATCATCAACGTTAAGTACCATTACGTGTGTCTACACGTGCTATTGACACGAGTTCCCTCCCCCTCTTCTGACATTTATCTACCTTCTCTGTTTAAGATACTGTGCAGTATTGTCAAATCCCATTGTGCCAAGACTCAAACAACGAGACTTACCCTTGCAGAATTTTTTTTGGCAATGCTGCTGCGTTATTAATAGTGTAGTAATAATAATAGCACAATTAACTAAAAACAACTCAATACACTCTTCAGCAACACTGCGTTAAAATAAACGACATTTGTTCGTGCATGAAATAAGTGACAAATCTTGACTTAAGACCCAAAGAATATCAATAAGTGACAAGTTCAGTTTTCAGAATTACAAGGAAAATTACTGAATATAAAGAAAAATGGATGTAAATAAATTATTCTTGTTTGCTCAAAGAAAACCACAAGATCATAAAATGGCACTCCATGACCTATCAGCCACATACCTAAACGTATTATTGGTTCTTTCGGTAAAGTCATGTAGAAGGAAAATAATAAAAATAAAACAATAACATTCTCACGACGTTTTCGGTCGCGATTAATACACACACACACACACGTCACTTCAACCAGCTCATAAACATTAAATTGCCACCACAGCAGCCAACGATACCTGCCTGGCCTTTCTCCCACATCGTTAACATTGAAAATGGTTGCATTCATGTGACCTCTTAATTCATTTTACAATTCGCTTTAGAAAAAACCACATGGCATCGTCATTATCTGTGATGTATTTCCTTGCAGCAGTTTGGCCCATAGAGATGGCAAACAAACATGTTATCTTAAATTTCTGCAAAGCTAGATCCGGTTGCAGTCCACAAAGTAATAAAATGGACCATATAGCAAAAGGCTGCAGTCTGCTCTCACGTCAACAGGGCAATAGCACAACGACTCTCTCCTGAAGCTCTCTCATTGTGGCTAGCAGACCTCGACATGAGCATTTAGCCCCTGAACATACAACTGCTGCCATCTGCAAGAATCGTAATAATAATAATACGATTTTTAGGAAACACTGCAAAAAAAATATTTTGCGTGTTTCTTGTAAATTTCTTTACTTATTGCCACGTGTCTTTTTTTTTTGTTACATTGGCTGCCACATAGCTGGTTCTTAGCAGAGACAAATGTAAAGAAAGCGCAGCGCCGTTTACCCTGGTGGCCCGTGAGGATCTCCCGTCTGCAAGGATGGTATCCCAGGGCGGTGATCGCCCCTCTGTTGTGCGTGTCCCGCGACACGAAGTGAAGCTGCATGGCCATGGCTGAGAACACAAAGCTTTCGCTAAATCCATCTGTACGGATGTTGGGAAAATAAAAACATTACCGGTGATTTGTAAAAAAAAAAATTCGTTTATCTTTACAAATGTCACGGCTTTGCTTTTATTGAACTGCAGTGTTTGTGCACTGTGTTTATCTGAGATGTTAAACACTGCCTGGCTGGTAAGCTGTGCTGTAGTCAAGGCTACAGACGCCTTGGAGACGCATTTATTACCACGATTTGGGCTCACTCCCTACAGCAAATGTGAGCAGGCAAATGCCCCCTCTGAGCTCGGGGGCTCGGTTAGTGCATTGTGATGAAACAGGATCTTGTCGCGTGCCTGTGTGCTGTGTGCCAGCGGCGTCGCATGTGTAACCGAGTTGTACGTGTGCATGTATGTTGAACTTCTTTCGCACCGTATGTAGCCAACCCTGCAAATCGGAGGTGCGGGTTTGCTGCACCATGGTGCGTTCGTAACTCGTGCGTGTGCATTTCTCCATTGCCAATCACTCAGAATGTGTCCGATGTTGTCACATGTCAGATTCTGAGCAAGGGTTGATCCTGGGTAGTGTTTAAGGATGAGCGAATAGACTGTATCGCTACGGTGTGGGCAATGCAGCAACACGCATAATTGTTGTACTGTACTTGTAAGCTCACCGTATTCAGCAAACCGCATTGACCGGATCGGTGAAGTATGGTCGAATAACTCCCACGGGGAGGATCTCATCCAGAAGTGGATTGACAACCAGCTGTGCACGTCATTGTATTTATACCACGTGTTAGGAATTGGTTTCACTGAAACAAAGTTATGGCTCATTCATGGAAAATTTCCCATGCACTACGTTGTTCACAACTTAAAATCTATTGCTATCCAGTACGTGACAACTTCGTTATTGTGCTGTAATCTGGAGATAATCTGCCCGAGCCGATTTGGGAAATTATGTTTGTAATATTTGCGATTCTTCATGTGAGTTGTTTTAGTTAATATTTACTTAATATTTTTGCTTGTCTTTTGTGGCCCAGATCCCTTCTTGCAAATGAGACCCACCCTTGCATCTTGAGTTCTCAACCTAGATAAACAAAATAAACTTGAAAACTTTAATAACACCAAGTGTACAAAACTCCACGTTACTTATGTCTTATTAAAAGCAAACCCTCCACGCAAAAGCAAAGCATAAAATGGACGTTTCGGGAAATGGTCCTTCTTTACAGCACTTAGAGAAGAACAGAGTCAATCGTATTAGCAAATGTTATTCGTATATATGGTTCGTATATTCTACACAATACACAGAGCACACATCATATGTGTCTACTCCACAGGAGGCTCAAAGACTGTTGGGGCAAGTGTTGTTCGCGAGCACCTATGAAGGCACACGGAGGGGGTGGGTGCCCAGCACCACGGCCGGCCGAGTTCCGAAGTGTACACGTAACACCAGGTACTCATTTGCGGCTGAGTCGACCTAGGGGAGGGCCAGGACAGGTGGCTCCCAGAGACGCACAACAACAACTGCCATTCGCCACTAAGTGGGGGTGACGTGACCACGACGCTTGTGCCAGGCTATGTGCACCTTGAGGCCACGTGAAGTGTCGAACGCCCGCTGGCAGGAGGTCACGGGGCAGACCCAGGTGCCACAGGGTCGACTGACTGAGACGACTGGCTGATGCACCACCTGTGCCCCCGACTGTGCCAAATTGCTGTGCTTTAGCCACCCGGCGCTCCGCTCAGTTGTTGTGAACATCGCTCCTCCGCCCTCCGTTGTTGTTGGAGGGCAACTGCCTCCAACCTGCCCAGTAGCATCCTTCACGAGCCTCCTCCACAGAGGCCGATCTTGACACCGCTGGTACCGGTCATTGGCAAGTCCACTCAGCTCCACGTCCTCCCGTACTACATCACTCCATCTCTTCTCTAGCCCGTACCGCGCCCGTTTAGCCCCCTCGATCCGGCCTGAACAAAAGCTGTATAGGCATGCAGGTGGCTGGGCACGTGGGCTACATGATCCAGCCAACGCAGCCCTGCCTGCCAGAGGAGCTCACCGATGGGACTTTGTCCAGATCTTTAAAGGATTTGTGAGCTCCTCACACAATCCAGCCTGGTTAAACCCAGGATAAATCGTAGGCAGGCCAGCATAAATGTTTCTAACTGGCGAAGATGCTCCATTAGGGGGTCCACGTTTTGCAAGCGTAGAGAAGGGAGGGAATGACTGTGGCCGAGAAGACCTGAAGCTTCGTGCGGAGCGACAGACCAAGTAGCTTCCACACAGCGTTACGCAACCGATGAAAAGATATTGCTGCTCGACTGATTCGGAGTGAGACCTCTGCTGTTAAACTGGAGCCGGTCATAAGCACACTGCCCAGGTATGGGAAACTCTCCACTCTCTCCACTACTGCCCCATCACCGATTGGGAGTTGTGGGGGTGGAGTGTTCGATGGTACAAAATACCCAGGCAGGTACTTAGTTTTGGTGGGGCTGATGGTAAGGCCCCACCTCTTGGTGGCACGCTCCAGTCTCAGCAGCAGCGTGTCCAACTCCTCTTCTGAATGAGCAGCTATTACCAAATCATCGGCATACATAACGTGGTTGACCAATAGGGAGCCATCCCTTGATCGCACCTGGGCATCGATCAGCCTCCCATTATATCTGTACCAAATGGAAATTCCCCCGGTACAGCTTTTGAAGGCTTCCCGAACTACGTGGTCAAAATAGATGTTAAATAATGTGGGAGCCAGAGGACATCCCTATCGCACCCCAAGGTGTACAGGGAATGGCTCTGACTCCCGGCCACGTAGTTTTACCCGGGCCCGCTCACCATCATGAAGGTCCTTAATGATCGTGAGCAGAGGGTCAGGTACTCCGAAAGCACGAAGAACAACCCAGAGCCCAGACCTACTGATGGTATCATAGGCCTTGACCAGGTCAATAAAGCAGAGATGTAGGTCTTGTTGGAATTCCTTAAACCTCTACTGTAGCAGACGGACAGAAAATATGGCATTTGTGCAGGACCGCCCTTTCCTGAAACCGCATTGCGGCTTCGCAAGCCTCTCCTTAGCATACCTAGCAATGCGATGTTGAATAATCCTTGCCAGGACCTTTCCCGGCACCAGGTCACACACACATACATACACACACGGTGCACACACACACCACACTGCACGTGTTCCCACGCGTGTCCGCCGTCACGTGGCCGGCGCCTCCACCAATGGGGAGTGCGGAACGCGTCTTCCTGTCTCACTCCTCATCACCACCACCACCTCCTCCTCTGTCACCACCGCCTTCACCACCTCCTCTTACTCCTCTACCTCCTCCAGCATCACCGCCACCTCGTCCTCCTCCTCGACTCGGAAGAGGCGAAATAATCGAAAGCAGGTGAGAGAACTCTGGCAGGCTGGTACGACCCACCCATCTTCTCTCTCTCTGCGTGTGGGTCTTGCACGTTGGCTGTACCACCACTGAGTGTGTCTGTGATGGTGATGATGTTGGTGATGATGGTGTTGTTGGTGTTGTTGTTGGTGTTGTTGTTGTTGTACTCACACAGCCTGTAAGTGTGTACCGTGCGTGTGGGGAGCGGTGGTGTAGTGGTCAGCGCGCTCACGGCCACCAAACACCCAGTGACCTGGGCCTCCTCCCCTAGGTCGACTCAGCCTCAAATGAGCACCTGGTGCGGTGTGTAGTAAACGTCGCCGCTGGGGAGACAAAGGCGGCCGGGCGTGGTGCTTGCCACCCACCCCCTCTGTGTGCTCCTGGTCTCGCCACAGGCTCAGCAGGTGGCAGCCTGCTGAGCGCCTCTGATGTGGGGCCGCTGTGAACAGGCCACCACGTGGTGGGCATTGACCAGCGTGGTGAAGTATGGTCAGTGAGCGGCGGGAGTGAAGGCCCCGTGGATTAGCATGGGCTGTACGTGTAGGCTGCTTTAGTTTGTGTGTGTAAGTGTGTGAACTCTGTGTTTGAACTAATTCCAGGGTCATCCGGAGATACACTCGGTCTAAAATAGACATTAATAAGGTAGCCCATTTAAACTTGCACTAACGAACCATTTACATTCTGTAAAGTTATCTACGTTGACTCATCGGCACGGCTGTGGCCGCCTTTTGTGTAATGATGAATATGTGCACACACACACAGCATGACACAATATACTCACAACGTAAGGGCTATGTCACTCCTATTGTGTCATGTCGTGTGTAATACTTTACTATTGCAACCTGAGATCATGCAAGATCAATATTTGTCGGCTTGGACTCCGAGGTTGCCAGGAGATGGCAGTACTGCTATGGATTCGTAAATCCATCGGTGTGGAGCTTTGGATGTATGACCCACGAAGTATGCTCGGTGGGCTTTCTCTGGATTCTCTGAGTTCCTTCCACGTGTAAAAACAAACTCATCGGCGTGTAATTTGGCCAAACGCACACCTATCAACCCCTTATCAGTGCCCTTTATTACAGATCAATTCTGATCTTATTGGTCACCCCGCGCCCCTTATACATCTCAACGTTCATCCTACAAAGTTCCATCACAAAGGAGAAACACAAACAAATAAAAAAAATTGTACTGGTAGGAACCTCCTGGTTACACCAGCCCACAGGGGATTATTGTGTCCGTCCGTCGTGTATCCAAAAATGGGAGGGGTGGGGCTGGGTGGGGAGGGGCTGGGTGGGGAGGAGCTGGGTGGGGAGGGGCTGGGTGGGGAGGGGCTGGGTGGGGAGGGGCTGGGTGAGGAGGGTGGGGCTGGGTGGGGAGGGGCTGGGTGGGGAGGAGCTGGGTGGGGAGGGGCTGGGTGAGGAGGGTGGGGCTGGGTGGGGAGGGGCTGGGTGGGGAGGAGCTGGGTGGGGAGGGGCTGGGTGAGGAGGGTGGGGCTGGGTGGGGAGGAGCTGGGTGGGGAGGGGCTGGGTGAGGAGGGTGGGGCTGGTTGGGGTGGGAGGGGTGGGGCTGGGTGGGGAGGGGCTGGGTGGGGAGGGGCGGGGCTGGGTGAGGAGGGTGGGGCTGGGTGGGAGGGGTGGGGAGGGGCTGGGTGGGGAGGGGCGTTGTAGGAAGGGGCTGGGTGGGGAGGGGCCTGTCACCCCGTGGTGCCCTTATAAAACTCAACGTTTAACCTACTCACGCCGGCTTGTGCCCGCCCTCACAGTCGGGCATATTTGGGGAATACACCACGCCGCCGTTGACCCTGCAGGCCATTGACCGATCAGCCCAACGTTCCTACCAGCTCCCTCCGCAGGAATGTGTTTACTCGATTGCCCTGTACAAGAATACAGGTAAACCGTATGGGTTGACAGGTATGCAAACGTCCCAATGCATGCCCCATCATAAAATGTAGCCTTTAGACTCCGTGAGACTTTCCTGCATACATAGAAGGACACTTCATTATTGTTTCTGGTTCATACTACGGTCCACGTACCATGCATTCTGCACACTTTGTACATGCACCATGGCGCCATGGTGCATGTACTACATTGTACTTGTGCTCTGTATGTGTATATGTATACACCTTCGTTTCGAATGGCATATGCTTATTATTATTAGTTTACAATCAGCCGCGCTTTGCTCGCAGAGTTAAACTTACCACAGAGTAACCCACACAGAGTGAGAGAGACACACAATTTTGCCTGCGGGAATTTGAAGGAGAAATGGGCAGGGCACTGCACTATTACAGGACTGTGCGTGCCACTCAATACCCAGTGTGTGTGTGTGTCACGTACTGTACATTATGTTATGCTTGCAGTCGTGGGTGATGATTGCTTTATATAATCCCAATTTAGTCATTTGCTAATGACGGTTACACATACCTGTCAACCCATAGGTTTACCCAGTATTACTGGTAGGAACCTGGTTACACCAGCCCACAGGGGATTATTGTGTCCGTCCGTCCGTTGTGCAGGGAGGGGCTGGGTGGGGAGGGAGGGGCTGGGTGGGGAAGGGAGGGTGGGGCTGGGTGGGGAGGGTGGGGAGGGGCTAGGTGGGGAGGGTGGGGCTGGGTGGGGAGGGTGGGGCTGGGTGGGGAGGGTGGGGCTGGGTGGGAGGGTGGGGCTGGGAGGGGTGGGGCTGGGTGGGGAGGGGCTGGTCACCCCGTGGTGCCCTTATAAAACTCAACGTTTAACCTACTCACGCCGGCTTGTGCCCGCCCTCACAGTCGGGCATCTTTGCGGAATACACCACGCCGCTGTTGACCCTGGCCATTGACCGAGCAACCCAACGTTCCTACCAGCTCCCTCCGCAGGAATGTGTTCTTGTACAGGGAAATTGAGTTTTCAGTTCCATACGGCGTACAGCCGTTTCAATACACGCAAACACATTTTGTCTATTTGTTTGTGTTTCTCCCTTGTGATGGGACTTTGTAGGATGAACGTTGAGACTTATAAGGGGCACGGGGTGACCAATAAGGTCAGAATTGGCGTGTAATAAGGTAGGCACTGATAATGGGTTGACAGGTCTGGTTACGGGATCTTGAATCACAGACTGAGTAGGGTTGTGTTGTTTTAATGGTTAATACAACCGCATTATTATTATGGATGGCTGCTGGTTTTTGAACCGTGAAACTCTTCTTGCAACAGGCGGTGAATGCGTGTAACCGCTAAGCCCATGTCGCACCGCAAGCGTGATCAGTGTCGCCACGCCAATACCAATACAACCGCCATTCGCTGCAAAGTTTGGTCGTACATGTTATGTACAGGTATATTGTTTATATTGTTAAATTTGAATCACAGTTCCTATGATCACTGTTCCATTGTTTTTATAGCTTTATTTTGGTGATTTCGAAAACGTTTTGGTTTAGCCACACTTAAGCGGTTGTGCGTTCGCTACGTTGTCCCCACCTGAAGAAGGACGCTTGTGTTGCTGCCCGAAACGTCGTGATTTAATTTAGTTGTTTTCATTTCTTTTATTAGATTTTTTACCTACGTGACTTTAGCGAAAAAAACACCAAAGTATTAGCCATGTTTGTTTGTTGTAGTACATAGTTAGCCTGATAACTTTAATCTAAATTGTCTTACGGTTGTTATTGTTTGACTTGCATCCCACTGGGATTTTTGCACACAGCGTTGATATGCGGTGTTTTTTTCTGGAAGACTTGCTGTTTTTTCCTGGATTTTTCTGTTGCGTGTAGTCACTTTAAGATGTTTCTTGTTCATGTTTTTGTTTGTTGTGGTTGCGCCCGAGTCAAGAGCCGCATGGCTCACAGGGTTATACATAATAAATGAAACTGAAAACTGAAACTGAAGTGAAGTGTCGAAGGCTCGCTGCTGACGGAAGGAGGTCTCGGGACAGACCCAGCAGGTGCCATGGGTTGGCTGACTGAGATGACCGGCAGATGCACCACCAACTGTGCCCCCTACTGTGCCAACTTACTGAATTTTATCCGCCCAGCACTCCGCTCGTTGTTGTGAGAGTTGCTTCTCTGCCCTCCGTTGTTGCTGGAGGGGCGACTGCCTCCAACTGCCCCCAGTAGCAGCAGCAGCGTCCTTCACGAGCCTCCTCCACGCACACGGTCACAAGCGCGATATGAGATTTGCACAGGACAGGCCTCCCATCAATCCGCTGCTGGGTGACGGCCTCTCCACTCAGTGTCAGTCATGGGGCTTGTCCACTGGACGTGTGTGTTCAAGAGGTTCATAGCTTACCGGATTCCTCCAGTCTTATAAGTGAATATTTTGATTCACCACGCAAGGTAGTACAGGTTGGGGAAGGGAGGGTCCCAAGACCGCTTACCAACGGTCATAGCCGTGGGCAGGAATTGAACTCAAGTGATGAGTAATGATCGAATGTATAGTAGAATTTTAAAGTGCTGTAGTGTTGATGATTATCATGACCAGGCGAATGCCCACTCACGTGAATTATTATTTACAAAGTCCAAGTACTAAAGAGACAAAATGTTCTTATTTTCTGATTCTGTTTATGTGTTCAGATATTTCTATATCACATTAGTGTCTAAACATGGGTGTACTGTATAGGGAATTAAAGTACTCTAGGTGTATGTATGTGTATATACTATGTTTACGTATTGTATACATGTTTACGTATTGTATACATATTGCATATGCATCATGGTGTGTGTACACAATTTATTGTACTGACTGTGTATGCACACACACACACACGGGTTCAAAAATATAGACATTTGGTTCGTTTCCATGATTGTTTGTTACTTATAATAGCCTCATAAATGTAGATGTCAGCAAAATTACGAATGAAACCACATTCATACTCTTTGGTTCTTTCGGTAAAGAATTAACACAGCAAACACAGCAGGAGAACTGCGGCTGCTTGTGTTGCGATCGAAACGTCGTGATCTATTATTTTCTAACCACGTGACTTTACCAAAAGAACCAAAGAGTATGGATTCCTGCAGTCACAAAAAGCTTCAGATCAAGATGAAACCACATTCAATCATCCTAAAGAGAATAAACTAATTGTGTGGCAGTCTAAAACTCTACATGGACCAGGTGTGGCTCTGGCCTGACCACCTCATGGAATGCCTTGCCAGCTTTAATAAACGCTTGCTGCCATGGTACTTTTGCACTTTCTGTACACAGCATGGACGGGTTGTGGTTTTTCTGTAGGATTTTATTGTTTACGTATGCGATGTTTAGATTTGTGTACAATGGATTTTAGGTGTATCTTGTAATTTTATTGTTTGTTGCGGTTGAACCCAAATCAAGAGCCGAATGGCTCACAGGGTAAATCCTAATAAATGAAACTGAAACTGATTCATGAAGCTATTGGTGTCAGAATAATGAGCCAGCAGAGATCCAAAGTTTAAATAAGTGATTAAACCATATTCTTAAGGTTAGTGTGCTGATGGTCTCAGACCACTTCCCAATTACGTGAGAGAAAAATACATCTCATTGAACTTAGTTTTGTGCGTTTTGTTTTCAACTAAATTCAACTTATTCCAGTTCTGGGAGTAAAAACTATTTGGTACGATTGACCTATGAGAAACATTTTGTTTTATTTCACAGCAAAAAAGATGTGTCTCTCACATGGCTAAATAGGCCAATTGAATTGACCTCCGAGTAGTTTTATGACATCATCTTCCAAGGTGGTGTAATATTAGCTGCTAGAGCTCTGGTCGCAAATGTCTTTGTCGAACAACACCTAAGAATATGAATCCTTGCCGTCACGTAAGCTTCAAATCTAGAACAACATCTTGTTGATAGCTCCGTTGAAATATAATTGTAAGAATAGTTTATACCAATATGTCATCCGTTCAACATTATATATAGCACTGTAATACTCATCTGCCTGTATGCGTGTATGTGTGTTGAACTTCTTTCGTACCGTACGTAGCCAACCGTGCTAATCGCAGATGCGGGTGTGTGTGTGTGTGTGTGCGCGTTTGCGTGGTGAGCAAAGATATGGCAGCGTCATGTGTGACCAAGGTGGAGTTGACGATAAGCTGCAAGGATCTCCTGGACAAGGACGTGGGCTCAAAGTCGGATCCGCTGTGCGTGGTGCTCATAGAGGCTGGGGGCACATGGACCGAGGCAAGTGGATTGTGACATTTGATGGTGAACCCAGGCCCTGGTTGACATCTGAAAGGAAAATGTACCTTCCGGTACTCACCCAGATCGATGGCATTTGAGTAACTGCTTTTAAATTGCAAAAATGTTCCTCGCGCCATTCAGTTGGTTGGACAATGCAGCAGTTTTCCGGATAGTATGAGCACCATTGATGATTTTTTTTGTTATAAAAAAAAAAATCATGGTTTCTATGTTGTTTGTCTTTTAACTGTGATTCTTAAATATGTTATTTTTAGTTTTAATGTGAGAACACTTAGTCTGTTCTCTCCAGTTACCTGGGTGAAAAGTGGGCTAATTTTCGCCAAATCCTGGCACAGCTGGCTAAGAAGAAACAGCACGAGGCAATGTCGTCGCCTCGTTGTACCAGCAGTGCACAATAGCTGCAGCAGATGAGAAGCAAGGTTGCCCTTCTGCATTGCTTTCATCTTATCGTGTTGTGCATTGTTTTATCCCAGGGCTTCTGTCATGCATGCGCAAATTAATAATGAGATAAAAGCATTGACACAATCACTGACTTAAGTTATTCCAGATTACTTTGCATAACAGTGGAGCTACATGTCCCACCTGCACAACGCACACACGGGCTTGTCACCCCATGAGTATTATTATTATTCTTTACACTTCGCCGTTATGTTCCGCATGTTTCCTTCATTTAATGCCTAATTCCTGTCTATGAATTGTCGGCTTGTAATGTTGCTTCAATCAATATCGTTCCTTAAGCTTGCGATGCATGCTTCGGAATTGTGTGCAGCAGCTGAATGTTCACTATTTAGTAATTGGTGATAGCCTGTCTTTAGGCTAATGTTATGGAGACGGGACAAGGGAGATAGAATAGATGAGACAGACCAATACAACTGAGAAATACAAAAGAGGCACAAACATTCCGGATTGCTTTAGAATCAAATCATTGCATTAATTGCTTAAAGGGAGAGGTGAGGATCGTTACATATCTCATACATCGTTAAGATACATTTTGGTGGCCACAGTAAATATGACATTTTTACTCCATGGAATACATCTGAACAAAACAGGTATCTTACGGATTGAGAACCAGCCCTGTAGTTATTTGGACGGCATGTATGTTGATTAATAATTGACTTACGAGTAAGCCAGTCAGTCGGCTTCCCATCGTGTTCTGCATATATACTGCATGGGAAACCACCACGGTGTTTTGTTAATAAGTTAAAGCCAATGGGGAGCTTGCAAGCCCCATTAATTATGGGTGAGTCCATTGGCTATTCACAAGCTGTTAGCTGGTACTTAGGCATGTGGCACAGCTTGCTCCCACAGCTGATTAGGGGCACCCCATGCAGTGCATGCAACATTATGAGAAGCTAGTGCAATGTTTGTCTTGCTCGTGTATTAAACAATGTGCATGTTACAAAATAACATTAGCGTAGTTGTGGAGAATATAAATAACAATGAATAAGCAAACAAGAGGTTTTTTTCACGTATCTGTCTCTCTTCCTTCTTATGTCTCTCCGCCTAGAATAAAAGTATTACTGGTAGGAACCACCTGGTTCCACCATCCCACAGGGGATTATTATGTCCGTCTGTCGAGCATCATAAAATGGGAGGGGTCGGGCTGGGTGGAGAGGGGAGGGTGGGGCTGGGTGGGGGGTGGGAGGGGTGGGGCTCGGTGGGGAGGGGCTGGTCACCCCATGGTGCCCTTAAAAAACTCAACGTTTAACCTACTCATGCCGGCTTGTGCCCGCCCTCACAGTCGGCCATATTTGCGGAATACACCACGCCGCCGTTGACCCTGCAGGCCATTGACCGAGCAACCCAACGTTCTTACCAGCTTCCCTCTTCATGAATGTGTTTCTTACACAACCAACAATCCAACAGCTCTCTGGGAATGCATAATTTCATCAGCATTGATTCAGTACAACCAAACTCTGGAATGGTAAATGAAGATCTTGTGGTTCACCTGCATTGATTGAAGTGAGCTCGACACTGCTGATGAGACACTGTGTTGAAATTGGTCCATAGTTTGTACTGAATCGGCGATGATTAAATTATACACTCCCAGAAAGCCGTTGGGCTAATGGGTTGTGTAAGTAATACTTTTATTTTTAATGTGGAGTGACAGATGAAAATCAACAACAGTATCTTGTTGATTTTCATGAAAAAACACATGCATATATTTTCATAATTTTACATCATGTTTTTCTCTGCATATATATATTGAGGCCTTTTTACCTGATATTACGAGTGTATTATTTGCCCCCAGTGGATACGAAAAACTTAAATTATCCTCACATTGATTCTCCCTTTTGAATTTTCTGCAAATACGAGGAGTTGGGGAGTCGTAGCAAAGTGGCGAATGCACTGCAACATGAGTTTTATTACTGGCCATGACTTAAGTGGCGAGTTATGTCTGAACCCATCCTGGCACCCTTCCCCCGACCTCCCCCCCTCCATGACTGACTAACCAGCACTGACCAGAGTAGTGAAGTATGGTCACAAAACCCCATTGATTGACAGACTGTCGGTGAGACTAAGGTAGTCGATGGATAAAGGGGTGTAAATAAATAAACCCAAATAGGAATCTCCTGGAAATGTCGGCAAATTAATCCTATTATTTTTCAGTTGTATTTCCTGGATTAACGAATTATCATTACTGGTTGACTTCCATCTTTCTGTTCTAAAAAAGACTCCACTAAATTGTGTGTGTGTGTCTTTGCAGGTGGACCGCACTGAGCAGATTCAGAACTGCCAGGAGCCTGCATTTTCCAAGCGTCTGCAGATAGACTATTGCTTCGAGCAAGTGCAGAAGCTGCGCTTTGGTGTCTACGACATTGACAACAAAACCTATGACCTCACCGATGATGACTTCCTGGGTCAACTTGAGTGCAACTTGGCTCAGGTGGGTGCCTCTGTTGATGTTTAATGAAAAAGGCATTAATACTGTCAAACATCTGACGTGTTATTCTTCATAGTGATGCGTTCCTGACTCAAAAAAGTTGATGAAATTCCACATTCTCATGGCAGATCCCAGTTTTTTTTCCTAGGGTGACCTGGATTGATGTTCCACAAAACTCTATTGCCTTTGGAAGGAGGGAATATTGTAGAAGTTGACCCCAACTAGGATTATGACGTGTGACCTTTCCACTTGCAAGTCATGCAGTCCAACCTCATCACCAGCCAGATACAGCATTTATAGCTGAAACATGTTTCTCCCATCTGTTCACAAGAGTGACTGTCCTTGGAAAAAGTTTAGGGAAAATGAGCTAATCATTTGGTGAATAGTTATAAAGGCCATCTGCATGACACTCATTTAAATGTGTCCCAATTCTCCAAGCCTTGGACCCTTTGGATTCATCTGTTTGTTGTGGTGCTCGCGAACAGCAGTTCACCATGCTAACAAGTGGATTTTTTTTTAAATGTCAGCCAACCTGTGTGTGTGTGCTTGCACTGAAATAGTTAGCACCTTGCACTACAATCTCAGCCACCTGAGTTAAATTCCAAGCCATGCACGTCATTGGCATTCGATATTTGAACTGTTCTTGCTGATCCTTATGCAATGAGTCCACCAGACGAAGGTTGAGATGACACAACTCCTCTTTATTTTCCGCACGAGCTGACGCTTATGTGGCCCACTCCACTTCAAATCCCACCAGGAATCACCCCGCCTCATCCGGTGACGTCCCCACTCCCCTCCTGGGCATTCCCTGTCTCTCACGCCCCGCCTTCTCTTTCCTTTCGTTCGTGACATCATCTTTAACAGTAACCTGGGAACCTTGGGTATTTCTACCCCAGGAACGCGTAAGTATTGACACTCCACTTACATTGGTTAGTTCAGCCTTGAAATAATACGTGATGCAATGAGTGACCATTACCACTGCAGAGACAAAGGTGGCGTAGTGTGGTGCTAACCCAACCACCCCTTGTATGTCATCCAACCTGGAATATATTCTTGCACTTTGGCCTACAAGACCAGACAAGGGTTCTTTGTGGTGTTTGTGTGTACTCTGAGCCATAGTGTGTAGTAGGGCTGAACGATTTGGGGAAAATATAAAATTGTGATTTTTCTTACAGATATTGCGATTTGATTTGCGATAAAAAGTTTTTTTAATTCAAGATCAGTTACATTTTCACTGTGTAATAGATTTAAAACAAGTAATGGAGCATTACCACATGATACTATCAAAATATGAACTGCTCTATCAAACGTAGAACAATTGTTAAGTGAAATAAATTAAGTTATAATAATACAAAATAAAACAATTCCAATAAGAAAGTAATAGGACTTTTTAAATCGCAAAAAATCGCAGCCTTTGCGATTTGCTAATCGCATTGTTTCAAATTGGGATTTCGATTTGAAATCGATTCATCGTTCAGCCCTAGTGTGGAGTCGTTAACAAACATCGCTGCAAACCTGACGAGCCGAGTTCAAGTCCCTCTCACAGCCAAAACCAGTAACTATTGTCTGAACCGATCCTGGCCTTCCCTAGGTTGACTCAGCCTTAAAAAGGTACTTGGTGCGATGTATAAGCATTATCAATAGGGTTTCGATTTAAAGCTTTCGTGACTGCAGGGATTCATCTTCTTGGTTCTTTCGGTAAAGTCACGTAGAAGGGAAGTAATAAAATAAAAATTATTTTATTATGTTTTATTTTTATTATTTTATTTCTTCCCTTCTACGTGACTTTACCGAAAGAACCAAGAAGATCATCACTATGGATACAAAGGCAGCCGGGCGTTGTGCTGGACACCCACCCCCTCGTGTGCCACACCCTTCATAGGTTCCCGCTAACAGCACTTACCTCAACACTATATTAAGGCTATACGGGGGATCTTTGTCTTTACACTCTGAGCAGGTTGTGTCGAGTAAGAAGATGACTCGACCCCTTCTGCTGAAAAACGGCAAGCCGGCTGGAAAGGGCCAGATCACAGTAAGTGGTTGTCCACGCACCACCAAGCAAGATCGCGTGCAGATCCCGTACATAGATTTGTGGGCCAGCTTAAAACCAATTTCCTTGTGAGCTATCATTGGAGGGTCTGACAGGTCCTGCATTACCATTGTTTAACCTAATATTCCAGCTTCAACACAGATTTGTTGTCTTTTTAAACTATTGTAGATGAACATGATACCCCAATTGCTCGTATGACATCCTCCAGTGAGTTTTTGTAATAATGAGTTTGAACACCGAGTAGAGAGCTGCTTTCTTCCTTGTTATCGTTACCGACACTTGCAGTAATTTGTAGAATAGCAATGTTACATCTAATTAACATCATTCATCGTCAAGTTTAACCATCTTGGATTGCAATATCTGTTCATTGGATTTTGTATGAATGTTTAAAAAATCTGAATGACTTGGCCTGTTAATTATTTAAAAAAGCATTCACCCTTGCGGTTTCATTGTCACAATTCTCCGTCGTGATTAAATTCACAAATAGTTTTAATAGTTTTCACGTATTTTTTCATTTGTTCTGTCTTAATCTGTCTGATTATGATTCAGTAGTGTACATGTAGTATTTGCCTGTGATTGCAATAATTTGTAAATCATAGATGTTACTTGCACTGATTCTATGCATTTATCGCGAGCATACGAATTTATTTTAATGAATGAATTAATTAATTAATCTTCACGTCGTTACATACCTCCTATTACCAAGGTTGGATACATACGGTGCAAAGAAGTTCAACATACATACTACATTTGCACCATTATTACTAGATTTCCCATTAACAATAATGGCGAGTTTGGCATGTGTAATTATTTCTTTATTTACATTCTCTTTTTTAGATTGTGGCAGATGAGATTAAGGATAACAGAGTCCTCGCTCTTCAGGTGGATGCTCGTAACCTGGATAAGAAGGTGCGTCGCTTCCATATAATTCACCCAATCAATGGGCTGTGCAGATTATCGCTTTCCATAAAATATTTGTTTAAATATGGCTCGGATGTCTCCAAGTTTCTTCAGCAACCTCAAGCCAAAATGTGTCATCCTTAGCGCTGGATGATGGTGAATTGAATTCACAACCTAAGTTTAATAATGATGATGACTTTTAGGTTGTCAGTGTCTCTGATGTCGTATTAATCCCCTGAGGGCACTGAGCTACTTAATAGTTGCATGATGGTTAATGTGTGCTGGTGTCATCATTACTAATACTGCAGTGATGTGCTGAATTTATAGTAGTGCACTGTCATGATTGACTACATTTATCGTACATACATGCACATATTTACTTCATCGTTGTGTTGAGAACTAGTCGACGACTATTCAGAGACGGCTTGAAGGTTTAATGGCTCTCGCCGTAAGTTTATTAAAGATATTACAATACACGAGGGTACACGAGGGTACACAACTCCCAGGGGCTAGGCGTCCTACACTGAGTCCTGATCCCTGCCGGCTAGCTCCGGTCTCTCTCTCTCTCGTGTCGGATCGGGGACTCTGCCGACACCACCGACCGGAGAGAGAAGCACCTCTATCGGCTACCATTGGCTTCTCCCCAGACTCACTACTCGATCCCTCTTCAGCCTTCTTACTCTACGCGTTCCCACAGTGACCCCACTTTCGTCACGAGGTTTCCCTTAAATACTCTACTCCTCTACAGTTGTATCAGTGTCAGATGAACGTGCATTGTTTATACAGGATATGTTCGGGAAGTCTGACCCATACCTGGAGTTTTTCAAGATGGCTCATGATGGCACCTGGCAGATGGTGCACCGGACAGAGGTAAGAGCGATCTCGCGCATCAGGAAAACCTCCGTCCCTGAGTTTGAATCGTCAGACTAGGGCAGGGTTCTTCATCGCAAGGCCCGCAGGCCACTGGCTGCCCCTGGTGGCCTTTAGTGCGGCCCCTGACGTGCGGCCCACCGACAGTCCACAACGTCTGGAAACACCCCTTGCAAGCGGTGGTCCTCACACTCGTGATGTCTTATAGGCGAAAGTTGCCCCCCTCTGAAAAATTAGTGAAGAACACTGGACTATGCGGCTGGGCACTTTAGCAACCGACACATTCATCGTTGAGCCTCTTTGCAGCGTTCTCATTGCAATCTGGACATTGAAATTATTAATGTAAACACTATGTGACGTTCCTCACAAAAGTAGGATTTTTGTGTCCTCTCGGCTCAAATCACATTTTAAAATCACCCCCCTGTCCGTATCCTCTGGATTACAAGATGGCGCATCTTACAATCCGATAGGTTTGTGTGCGTGACCAGACTTGTATAACTTTGTTGACACTGGGCTTGAGTTTTGGGTGCGTCTTACTTTCCAGAGGGTCTCTTAATCAAAAGTGTTTAATTAAGCTTACAGTCAAGTTAAAAACTAGAGGCAAAATTACATATAAATGTCTCTTCATAACGCTGCATGATTATCCAGGTCTTTAGCAAAGATGACAGTGAATTTCATTTAAATATCTTTGCATTGAACAAAGCCAATTTGTCCATCAAGGTAATGCCATCATTCATATTTGTCTTCGTGTAACGACAGTGCATCATAATGTTAGTTTTCGATTTAAAGCTTTCGTGACTGCAGGGATTCATCTTCTTGGTTCTTTCGGTAAAGTCACGTAGAAGGGAAATAATAAAATAATAAAAATACAACATTATAAAATACAATTTTCATGACGTTTCTGCCACAACGCAAGCAGCCGTCCTCAGGTGAAGAACAGGTCTGTCATTCAGACGCTGTCTTTTCGACAGACCTGTTCTACACCTGAGGACGGCTGCTTGCGTCGTGGCCGAAACGTCGTGAGAATTGTATTTTATTATGTTTTATTTTTCTTATTTCCCTTCTACGTGACTTTACCGAAAGAACCAAGGAGACATAATGTTAGTGTTTCCTATTGGCTGTGGTACCTCTTGAATGTCAGCTGTCATCCACAGGTTATCAAGAACAACTTGAATCCCACATGGAGACCATTCAGCATCCCTCTGCAGGCGCTCTGTAACTGGGGACCTGGAGAGAGACGTCAGGGTAAGTGACCCTGCTGTCATATAATGCATGCAGAGCATTGCTGGGACCACATCACGCCTATACAGGCCTTTTGTTGATGCACTGCTGGACAGATGTCGCAAACGGGTTTTGATTCCTTACCCGTACCCGTACCCGGCCGAGACAGGGTCACAAATGGGTACCCGTTCCCTATCCGTACCCGTTACCCTACCCGAAATGAGTGACAAACGGTTACTCACCAGTGGCTCACGGCCTACCCGTACCCGTACCCGGCCGCACCAGGGTCGCAAACGGCTACTCGTACCCGTACCCGGCTGGGTATGGGTAGCCGGGTATTGGGTAGGGTACGGGTATCGGGTACCCGGTTGCAACCTCTGCTACTGGATGAGTGTATCCCGATGCTCTGTGGGATGTGGGCTTTGTTTGACTACACATTACCACGGGGGTTAGGGAAGACAGGGAGTATAGATGTAGAATGGTACAGCAATAACTTTTTTCTATACTGCCCTCTAAACTAAACTAAACCATTTTTTATTTTACCAGGAAAGGCCCACTGAGCTATATAGCTCTTTTTCAGAAGCGACCTGGCCACAAATGATAGCTCAACGAAGTGGCTTATCACGTGGAGATGTATTGCAGCCAAATACTCTAAACGCATGTTTCTAAATGTCTAGGGAAAAACTGGAGGACCCTGAGAAAAATCTACACGACCACGGGGAGTAACATGCAAATTCCAAATATACAGGCGTCTAGAGTCGGAATTGAACCCACAACCCTCCTGTATACCAGGCGAGGTAGTTAACATCTCGCCAAAACTCATAAAGGCTTCCTCGGTAAATAGATTCACTTATTTTTTCGTTATGTTGACTTCCCGCAATGTGTTACTCCATTGTATCAGTACTATAAGAACGACAGGTTTCGGAAATTCCAGACCAGGATTTAAACTTTAAACCTAGCAATTGCGAATCAGGCACCCGAACAACAGCACCACTCGACCGGACATTGGACTGTACGAGTGCTTTATTGTCAAAGCGTTATTATACTCATTCCCTGGTGCACTACTTTTCTCCTCCTGTCCCACATTCAGCTGTCTTCATTCAAATGCTAAATATGTCATTTAACATTACAAACGCTGACAAAGGATGGGGGGACAGAGGGAGGGTTATTGGTAAGAGGCTTCTTATCATGAAGTGGTGAAATTGCCAACACAATAAAAGGCCAAATTCTGCAGTTGCATTATGCTGCAAATGGAAGGATTTTGCTGATGATGCAGACACCCACACTTTACCTCACCGGGGGCAGATATTCTTCCAACTGATGCATTTAAATGAGAATTACTGATACAAACATTTTTAACTGCATGGCTTAAGCGTTGGTGAAACTAATCTGGCCTCTTCAAAGTGATATCTCACATTTGTAATCTGGCAATTTGGAGGCACGGGTTAGCAAATCATGCAGATTTTGGAACTCCTCAAGTCTGCCGGGCTACCATGTAGCCAGTATGTGGGTTTTCCCCAGGTTTCCATAATTTCCTCCCGTACACAAGCACTCCTTGAGAAAGAACTCATTCCAATGCATGACCCTACAATCCTGAAACTCAAGCGAGGCTGTCCCAGGTAAATTAATAACAAAAAAATTGAACTGAAAAGCAATCGTAATGTTGTTAGGTCTGTGCTGTTCGTTTTGTGCCACTGTGACATGGCTCAGCGGTAACGCGCCTGCCACGGGTTGCAGAGGTTAGCTTCGTGGTTCGAGCCCAGCAGCCGTCCTGGTTAACACTGCGGGTTTATTATAGCCACCCTGACGCTATTCGATAGGCCACATGTGCTGGCATCATGGTCCAAATTTCCCCACTTGAAAAATTGCCCACAAATTACTCAATTGGGTAAAACCCACACAGCAACATCGGACCCTTCTGTGAAAGCAATGCACACTGTAATTTTCCGTGAAACAGAATGTCTCTGTGATAGCCTTGAACTCTAAGAATGGTGCTAATTACCAAATGTACTTTTGTTTGAATTTTTATTGTGTGTAAATGGATCTCTGATGTTAGCGACATATTGTCAATTTTGTTTTGTTTATCCAGATGAGAACTTTGAGAGAACAGGATGAGTCTCATTTGCAAGTTGTGACCTGGGTCACCAAAATGACACGAGCAAAACCAAGTACAACAATGAAATATACCAAAACAAAATAAAAAAACAAAAACGCTATCACATGAGGAATTGAAAATATTGCAAACATAAAGTCGACGTAAATCAATCAATATTCAGCACCTATAAATCAGCACCTCTGATTAGCATGGTTGGCTACGTACGGTGATACATTATGCTGTCCGTTCAATGCAGGTCGTCTGTTACGACTACTGACAGCGATGGCTCCCACGACCTCATTGGCGAGTTCAAGACCAACGTCAAGAGTCTCCAGCAGGCGGAGAAGGGGCAGGTGGGTTTCGGCCATGCCGCGTCACGCGCGTCGATCCTCAGAGGGGAGACGGTCACCTCGCTCCCGAACGGAGAGGGTTAACGACGCGACGATGGACGTCATTGGCTGGGATGTTGCGCAAAGCGACGGATATAATCGCGACCTCCCCCCCTCCTCGCCCTCCGCCCCCCCCTCCTGGCTGCACCACACAGGTGGAGTTTACCGTCATTCACCCTGAGAAGAAGAAGAAAAAGAAGAACTACAAGGGCTCGGGCTTGGTCATCGTCAAGTCATGCCGGGTACGTGCATGTCCCCTTTCTCAACTGCGCCCAGTGCTAGCCCTGTACAAATTCAACCCTTTGTTTATTCATAACTTTGGCCAGATACGTGACCCGAACCCAGTGACATCTTATTTTATTCTAACCCAGTGAAAACAAATTCTACTCAAACATTAATCTTTGGCCCTGTTCATTGCCCCCTAACCTGGTACAAACCTGACCCCAACCAAATTCTATCTGAACCTGTCCTTAGACTTTTGACAAAAACTTGGCTATCATGGAACACTGTCGAAATTGACCATAGCACCAACCGCTTCCCTAGCTATAACCTAACACTACACACTCAATTTTTTCTAGATTTGAAGCTTTCGTGACTTGCAAGGATTCATACTCTTAATTCTTTCGGTAAAGTCACGTAGGTAAAAAATGAAATTAAAATAAATAAAAATAAAATAAAAATCACGACGTTTCGGAGGCAACACAAGTCTTCGTCATCAGGTGGGACCGTCACAGCCAGATTTGCTGCATCAAATCTGGCTGTGATGGTCCCACCTGATGACGGAGACTTGTGTTGCCTCCGAAACGTCGTGATTTTTATTCATTTTAATTTCATTTTTTACCTACGTGACTTTACACTAAATTTTCTCCATGAATTTCAAACCAGTGTAGCCATTACCCTAAACATGTACAAACTAAGCATAATCTATCCAAAGCTACCCTATTACTCACCATAACCTAAGCATAGACTGTATCCTTTACTTAATAACCTGAATGCTAACCCAGTCCAAACTACCTATTGCCATATCCCTAACCATAGCTTCGCCTTTGCCATGTGCCATGATCATACTGAGAGAAAAATGTTAACGTGATACTCTACGAATTCCACAGACGGAAGTTGAATATTCATTCCTGGATTACATCATGGGTGGCTGTCAGATCAATTTCACGGTGAGATGCGTTGTGTTTGTGTGAGCGTTGTGCATTTTTTGTCTCAAGAGCATTGGTGTGTGCAAAACATTTTCACTCCTATGACATGAAGTTTTGATGAACTTCAATTACATCTAAAATAATAAAGAACAAACTTGTCAACAGCTCATCTCCTTGTTCAGCAGGTATGGCTGATGAAGCTTCAGCGCATAAATTCCACCAAATGCGTCGGTTTAAAAGAAGTCCCCCTTTGTGCTGCTGCACCAGGTGGGGATCGACTTCACGGGGTCCAACGGGGACCCGAGGTCACCGGACTCGCTTCACTTCCTGAGTCCCAGCGGCGTGAACGAGTACCTGACGGCGCTGTGGTCGATCGGCAACGTCATCCAGGACTACGACTCGTGAGGGCGCCGCTGCACCCGGCCACTCGCGGGCGCGGCGCAAACATTTTCACGGGGGGGGGGGGGGGGGGGGCTGGGGGGGAGGGGCTGGGGTGCCCTCGGCGGCGCCTTCGATACGACCAGTCGCCGTCTAAAGTAACGAATTGGCCCTTCAACTGAATGCACCCCATCTCGCGCGAGCTGTGAAGTTAAGCAGGTAGATTGATGGCTGGTTAGTACCTATATGGAAGATTGCACAGGAATGTGTGAGGTGTTAAAGGCTTGGGCTGTGTGGTGGCCAGAAGATGGCGGTGCAACAGTGAGTTATTGAACTTAGCTGTGGGGAACGGTGAGTGTTGCTCTGTGTGTCATGGATTGGAGAAGATTGAGTTTATTCAGGATGATTAAAGCAAAATGCATATCACATTGTGGGAAGTCAGCAATGGCTTTCGGAAAGTGGAATTTCCACCTCTGATTCAAGCCAACAATAGAGATGACTGCTCTTCCATGCTCGATTGCGTATTGGGACATAAACGTTATTCTCCAGCATCACCAGTAGCAAGATCAACATTACATTTCCATAGTTTCAGCATTTGCATTGGAATAGACATTTTAATAGGTGTTCTTGGCTATCTTCATGACTGTCAGTGTACCCATTGGCATCTGCACCACACTTAACTGAATTCCTGCAACCACCACCATATCTATTTTTGACATTAATATGTTTTGCTCGTGCCAGAATTATCTATTCAGTTCTTTATTTTTCTATTTCAAGGTCAGCTTTAAGATCTTGTCTTACCTTAGGTGACTTTCACCGCATTAATATCCTTGTTCTGCTCATACCGTGGCCCCTGCTCCCACTCAATAATGCATTGAGGTCATTTAATGGAATAAAATCCCACCACCTCCAGTGAAGAGGATGTGCTGTCAGCTGGGTCACAGATATTAAATGTCCAACAGCACAAGGATGAACTATTCCACCGATGCCACGCATAGATGTGACCCAGATTTAACTTGGCAGCTAGAGAAAAATTCCCTGTACATGTTCCTCTTCAAATATGTTGTTGTGTATCAACCGTAGCTTTAAATTGCTTTATAATGAATTCAGAGGTGCAGTGGAACTCATTAAAATTCATAGGCTGCGGTATTAACTGGATGAGATAAAAAATAAAAAATACCCAGATCGTTTTGCATGCGGGAAATGGCTTGGTTTTGTCCATGAGCATTGGCATTCACGCATTGCAAATGTTAATCACCATTGCCACTTTGCCCTTTATAACTAAGTGAAAGCCCATGACACCATAATTCCCTTGTTGAAGAAAAGCCTGGGTTAATAAACAAGCACAACGATAACGGCGACACAATGTACGTCGCATCTAAATGCAGCAGCGACACCCCAAAGACGCCGTACGGCAGTGAGGGACAAAGCCGAGAAAGAAGGTGACGTGAAGCATGGTGGAAACGGAAGCGACCAACATGGGAGAGCGGGGAGGGACACGTGGGAGAGTAAGGAGGAGCAATGGCAATTCTGGCTGTCGCCTGATGAGGCTGGTTGTAATTACTGCCGAAACGTCGTGCTCGAATTGTAAGCGGTGTGGGTTTACTCCCTCACCCACCGGGGTGCTAAATTCGTAACTATGTGGCATGTTTTGTTTACGTGACAAACCTTACTAATTGGCTGTGTCGGGTGGTGGGTTTAAAGTCACATTTACGCGATCCAACCCCGAAAAAACCTGGATAATATTGGTCGAGAAAGCCTGCTACTATGTGTTAAAAGGGGCAATGCTGCGGTGTGATCCAGGGCCAACGGGGGGCCATGCCCACGGGTACCGGGGGGGGGGGCTGTAGTGAATCAGCAACAAGGAGTCCCAATGGTGCAAGGGCAGCCAGGGATTGGTGTCTTTGATTTATTTGCACTGTGCACACCCATCGTGAGTAAATAAATACTGCAATCAAACAATTAAATCCACCAACAAAGGGGGATGAATGAGAAGGCATGATTGTACTACCCACTATACCCTTTTGGATCCATGCGAATTCAACCCCGTTGAGGCTTGGAGAGCTGAACGGAGTTCAAAAGAACTCTCAAACAAACACCTTGTGAAAGACCCAACACAGAAGATTTCTGGATTTGATCTTCCACGAAGCTCATGGTCCACCCTAAACCCGCATCCACCGCACAAACCGCGGCAGATGCAGATACCCCTTTCACAAATGGAAAATTAAAAACACTGCAGTGTGCGACTGTGGTCATCCAAAACAAACCATACAGCATATAGCGACGTAATTCCCAATCCACAAATACGAAGGAGACGTCACAGCGATACACAAAAAAAAGTATTTATTTTAAATCTAATATCACCTCCACTCAAAGGGGTATCAAAAATTGTACACTCACTGAAATGCACGGACAATAAAATCATGTTTAAGTAAACGCCATGAGAAAATAGTGAGTCTTGCACTCCCTCCTAAACACACCGAGGCTCGTAGCGCGCCGGATCACCGCCGGCAAGGCATTCCAGATCCTTGGGGCAACATTTGAGAAGGCCTGACCCTCCAGCGGCGAGCACAAAAGCCGAAGCCGGGAGAGTATGTCCTGCTCTTAAGAGCGTAGTGGTTATCTGGCTTGACCATCTGAATGTAAAATTGTAATTGCTGCTCTGCATCTACATCAGCCGTACAGATGATAGACTACAATTTTCTGTACCCTTCGCACTGAGGGGACTGCATTTGCACGACTGTTTATCTAAAATTACTGAGCTAGGGAGGGCCTCAGCTGCGTGTTTCGTTGTGTCTTTGCGCATGTTGGGCTGAGCCTGGTGGTTGTGTTTCTTTTACAGGGATAAGCTCTTCCCTGCCTTTGGGTTTGGGGCACAGATCCCTCCAAGCTGGCAGGTAAAGAGTTTGGAAGCTACGCGTGAATTTTCTTTGATCGTTCGCTCTTGTCTAAATCCACTCGTGTGCTGTTACGTGTTTTTCCTACGCTTCATTAACGGTTTCTTTTATCGAATTGTATCTGTTTTGTATTATAATGACTGTTAGATGGATCAAAATTGCTGCTGTCCCCTGTTGGCCGTGTGGATGCTTAAATCTTGATCTTGTTTCCTCTCCCAGGTTTCACATGAATTTCCACTGAACTTCAATCCAGCAAACCCATACTGCAACGGTAATGTGCATTGAGTGGGCACTAAAAGTCATCAATTCAGCTAAACATTGTCCCCTGAAACAGGTTTCTCAACTCCAGTCTTCCCGACTTCCCAATGATACACCGCTAGCGCTTTGCGCTTACTAACCGTCAGGTGCATCCCATGAGCAGTGGGACTGAATTGCAGATGGACCATGTTTCTCATCACGCTCGTGTCCCCCCCCCAACTGTTACACCCCGATTGCTGGTGCGGCAGGCGTGCAGGGCATTGTGGACATGTACAAGGTGTGCCTGCCCCAGGTGCGCCTCTATGGCCCCACCAACTTCTCCCCGATCATCAACCACGTCGCGCGATTCGCCGCGGACGCCCTCCAGCAGCCCGCCGCCACGGTGAGGCAACCTGGCGGCTGCCAGGCTCATGGGCGGTGATCATAAAGTGTCCGTGCAGTGTGGCGTGCTTACATTTTCAAAAGATTTATGGTAAAGTCACCCATGTGGTCCTCCTCTGCTAGTGAGCCACAGATGCGCGGGTGATTATTTGTGTTCATCTGCATCCACGCACGCTCACGTGCTTACGTGCACACGTTCGTGTAACCAGGGTTCAATTCACGGTCGTGGATAATCTCGATGGCAAGTAATGTCTGAACCAGTCCTAGTTCTCCCCTAATTTGTCTCTGCCTTAAATGAGTGCCTGGCACACTGTGTGTAAACATCAGCACTGGGGATACAATGGAAGCCAGGCGTGGCGCTGTTTCGGCCTTGGTAAGCGCCCGCCAACACCACTTGTACCTCCAGCCTGTAAGGCTAAATGAGAGACCTTTGCATCCATGCTCGTGTACGTATATATAGTGTGTAAGTGTTTTGTTAAGGGGTAGTGTTGTCTTCATGGTTATTGCATTGAGATACCATCTCGGTAACCCAGACTGCACCAGCCTAAATAGCTGCTCGCTAAGAGCACTAATGAAAAGCTACATGGGGGATCTTGGTGCGTGTACCCGTGTGTGTGTGTGTGCGCGTGAGCGGCAGCAGTACTTCGTGCTGCTCATCGTGACGGACGGCGTGATCAGCGACATGGATGAGACGCGCCTCGCCGTGGTGCAGGCCTCCCGGCTGCCCATGTCCCTCATCATCGTGGGAGTGGGCAACGCCGACTTCTCCGCCATGGAGTTCCTGGACGGCGACGGCGGCGTCCTCAAGGCGCCCTCGGGCGAGCCGGCCGCCCGCGACATCGTGCAGTTCGTGCCGTTCCGCGACTTCCGCAACGTGAGCAATGCAACCCCCTCCCCCTCTCGCACGAGTAGGAAGGATGAGTGACCACTTCTCCACGTATTTACTAGAGAAGATCAAACGGAAAGCTTGCTCTTCTGAGCCAGAAGTCGTGTCATTGCATGGGGGAGCAGTGGTGCAGCAGTTGACGCTCTTCGCTACCAACCCTGCGACCTGAGTTCCGTTCCCGCTCACGATCACCAACACCAGTGACGATTATCTGGACCGGTCCTGGGCCTCAAATTTGTATCTTATGCGGTGTGTAAACATCACCACTGGGGAGACAAAGGCGGTCAGGTGTGGTGCTGGCTACCCACCCCCTCATGTACCGTGCCGGCCTAAAAAGGTGCTCGCTAACAGCACTTGCCCCAAAAGTTTGTTAAGGCTATACGGGGGGGGGGGGGGGTCTTTGTCTTTTGTATGTGAATGTGAATTTTGATACAATAACAGATTAATTATTGAAATCCAAGGCATCGCAACTTCTCATAGTACGATTCATGCTACATTTTGTTCATGCTACGTTTTTTTAATAAACAGAGTCAAGCAAAAGTTTCCCACATTTTGATGCTCAGTGCTGAATAAGTGAAGGGGGGGAGGCTTGCTTTGACTGACTGGTCTGCCGTTTTGTTTCCTGATTTGTGCTTCCCCAGGCACCCAAGGAGGCACTGGCCAGGAGCGTCCTGGCTGAGGTTCCCCGGCAAGTGACGACGTATTTCAAACAGAGGGGTCTGCCCCCTCCGAATGTCGCACGATCCTAAGTTGATCGTGTGGCCGAGTGGTTGCGGAGGATGGGATGAGCCCCCTCGAGCTTTGTGGGTTGATCTTGGGTGGAGAAACCGTGCCATATAAGACTTTGCGAGGTGGAGGGGGAGGTATTACAATATTATGTTTATTCTGGTAGGCTCACTTATCAAATACCCAAGTCAAAAAACAAACGCTGCAGATCTTGTTGTTTAGGGCAGCTATGCTGCTGTGTGTAAACATACTATTTTATATTTTTAGTCTTCGTCCATCTGATGGCAACTTGTGGAATTTTAGTCAACTCTTACTCTGTGTCATTTAGTCAGCGTTTTACTTTAAAGATGAAAAAAACCCATGACGGATGTGGATACCTGACGCACAAATGGAAAATGGAAAACTCTCCAGTGTGTGCCTGTGATCATCCAGAACAGACCGTGCAACATATGAACCTGATGGCGGTACCCCGGGGTACCATAGTCACCCCGGCTCTCGCATATTGTCCGTGATGCAGTCATTTTTAGTCTGTTGATGGTCGGCGATGCGGCAATCGACTCATCTCGACGAGCTGTGCACAATGCACTATTCAAAGTTCAATTTTTCGATAACGGATTTTGTATTTTTATGCTGATGTTTGGCGTTTCGAAATTGCGGAGTAGCACTGATTTCGGATTGATTGGTAACCTCAGTCGCGGAGTGAAGTAACACCCCTGCAAAAAATAGTGTCCCAGAAATAAAATATTTAATTGCCTTTGCCATTTTGTATTATTTGGTACCCCGGGGTACCGCTATAAGGATCATATAACGACGCAATGCCCCGATCCACAAATACAAAGGAGACATTACAGCGATTACACTACTCCTGACGCGGCTATCCGGCTTGACCACCTCAATGTGAAATTGTAGTTGTTGTCTCTGCATCTATGTCAGCCGTACGGAAGAAGAAGAATGAGGAGACAAAATCCACAGACGAAGACTTGACTCAAATCCCGCAAGTTGTCGGCAACTAACACTAAAATGCTGACTAACTAAATTAACACTGCTCAGCCGTGTGTCCTGGACTGTCCGACACGATCGCTGTGACGGCGTCGTCTTGATGTTGGCAACGTGCCCTCCTGACCTTAACGAGGGTTAATCATCTTTATTTGGGGTTTAAATTCACGTCGGACAACCCAGGGCACAGATCCTGGGGGCTCCATATCTCCAAGAAAAGGGTTTTCAGGTTACCGTTTTATGACTGTCAAATTCCTTTGCTAATTCTAATTTGGGCAGCTGTAAGACCTGCGTGTGTGTACGACAAGTGTGTGTGCGTACGAGTCAAAGTCCATGTACTCTCTGTTCAACTGAGCACTGGGCGTGCCCGTGTCTTTTTGCTGTCACCGACCCATTGGTGGGAACATCACATTCTTACGTGATCCCATGTCTCTCTGTCGGACAACAACTGATGACTTCCAACCAAGTGGTGCCGATTAAATTGTGTCTGCGCAGTATATTTAGTTGAATATTTCAACGTGCATACATTTTCATAAAATCTCAGAAGCTAAGCAGGTTTGATCCTAAAATGTGCTTGGATGGGTGATCACCACTATGCATTAACAGGTGCTGTAGGCTGTTGCAGTGGGGCTGTGTTGTCAAAATTGAGCGGTGTAGCAAAATCCATTGTTGTACTGCACTATTGCCCAACGTCGATTCCGCCTTCAACTCACACTGACCAGCGTGGTGAAGTATGGTCAAATATAACCCCCTTGACTAGCACGGTGTGAGGAGGCCCTCATCCAGCAGTGGATTGACAAAGAGCTGTACGTCAACATATTGCTTGGGAACAGAAATTATGGCTTTTGCAAAGTGGCATCCCTTGCTTTGTGGCAATGTCTCATTAGCATGCCTTCATTGTATAGCTGAAGCCATGCTTGTGGGCATGACACCACACGTGCTATTTTTACTAAATGCATATATGCAAGGTATAGTTTGCATGTTTTGAGAGCGGGATATTGTAAGGGGACAGGCTTGATTTATTTCACTCATCATCCTCCCTCTTCATGTGATATTGTAATACGATTAGAACATGCCTATGTAAGCTTCACATGAGCGTGATTCGTCCTCTCAAAATAGTGTGACTATCCCTTGTGTGTGTGTGCACAAGCGCTTCTTTATGTATGATATATATATGCATGTCGTACGAGCAGATTTATAGGAACAATAATGTTGGCGCATAGTAAGCCATACGTTAAAACATACTAGTCCTAATTCTTATTTTATGTGCTTGCTAATTACGCGAATCGTGTAAAATGTATGCTCAACGTGACGTATAGTAAGTGCCACACGAGCTAAATATAGAAGTAGTACAAGCTGCAAGTGACAATGCCATTGCCAAATCACGGGAATAATTTGTACTCTTTACATTGCAAAGCCAAAGCAATGCAATTCTACCAACTGGAATGTAAACGTTACATGCCCCCCCCCCCTTCCCGTTTCATACCCACACCCAACGCAGCCTTAATCCCTACCCTGTGCCTTAGCAGGTTATTGTCAACGCAATAACGTGACCCCTGCCCTGTGCCGAACAGTTTCATGGGCTGCTTAATGGTAGGCTTGCCGAAGTGGCTCGCATGCGTGTCTTCGGAACCATCGAATAATTGATATCCGTATCTTCTGACCCATCCTCATCTCCTGCTTCCTGCCGATTGGCTCACCGGTGCAAATTTGGCACTCGCTGTTTGTGAAATATCTAAACGCGCACAGCATGCCTTTGCGCAGGGTGTGCTGGTACACGCCTGCAATCAAGGGCTCCGTAGCCACTGTTTGTAGGTAACACAGATATGTGCTGCGAGACAGACTCCCAAGTCGATTTGGCTGCATGGAGGTTAAGAAGCTCGCAGTACAGCATGCAGGTTCACGATCTATATTTTCGGACAGTTAAGCACTATCCTCCTTCTAATGTGTGCTGGTTTTCTCCCACATCCATTATATACCCCTTTACGAAGAAGTCGGCCAATGCTTCGAATGCAAAAATTGCTGAAAATGAGTCCTCACTGTCGGTGTATTTTTTTTATTTGGAATGTGCTGCTTTCATCGACAGATTCCGCGCTGCTTTGTGCCTTAGAATGGATGTTTCTGCAGTGCCGTCATAATCCATGCCGCCATCTGCCCTCCTCGGGGAGACGACCTTTATTGGTCAGCCTGGTGCACTTAAATACCTCCAATTATATAACAACGTTCGGCCAATGGGAACCAACATTTGAATGTGACAATTTAAAAAATGATTAAATAAAAATTAGAATGTCAAGATTCATTTCGCTGAAATTCTCGGACCTCCACGTGGTAACCGTACACATTGTAGATCATTATTGATTGTAAAATGGAATGATTCCATGTTAAAATAAAATAGAACTATTAAATTGGCAAAGTTACATTTTCATGCAGTTTTCTTAAAGCAGCCAAAGATCTCATCTTCATTTGGACTTATATGCGTGGCGGTTAGAGTCCTCTCGTCCTCTGGCTTGAGATGGCTGCCACCTATGGGTCAGATGATTGCCAGTATTAAGCAATTGGTAATTAAATATTCAATTTGTTTTCCCTAAACAGTGTAAAATTTTGGAAAAAAAAATTCACGAACATTAATTGTTTCGCACAACGAGTCTGTGTGCAAAATGTCAGCTCGATTGGATCACGAGAAGTGGGTTAAAAACCGACCGAAAGATTTGCACGGTAGTAAGCAAGCAAGCAAGCACGCAAGCAAGCAAGCGAACTTAATATAAAGGATTTAAAAAGATAGCAATCTTGCCGTGTGTGGCTGGTAAATGCAAAAACAACAAACAACGTAAAACAAGATAAAGCCACCCAGTTAAGGGGGTTCGTCAACTGAAAGTCTGACGGTGATTATGTTCAAATAGGTAACTAGAGCCCTGGCCATTGAATTGGTTTGAGATGAAGCCAGCAGTGTTATCACATGTTCGAGAATATTACCTGCCCAGCCTTGATTTAGCATGGGATCCTTCTTCTGGCTCCCCTTGACGATCACACCAAAGCACAGTGCATCCACAGCACGGCGATGCCACTTTCATTTCTGAGCCATTAAAATGAAACGTGCCTTACAACGAGCCGCATCGCTTCTCGTGGTTGCATTAACGTTTGAGAGCACTGACCATTGCGCCCTCACAAATGTGGTTACTAGCCCGTAATGAGCTTTGTATTTTAGTTATTGCATCACTACAAAATTAGTCATTTTAAACTTTTTTTTTTATTGAACGCTTGATATTGAAATAAAATGTATGCGGCAAGGTGGTTTGTGTTTTTGCTGAGTGCGTGCCTATTTGGAATTGCCTGATGTGTCTGCCCGCCAACGACTGAAGGTGCAGGAGGAGGTTGTCACGCACGGTCAAAGTGCACTGCGATGTGATGGTGGTCAGCAATCGGTGGTTCGTCCACTCGACACTCAAATCGGCAATGGGTAGTGCTCGTATCCAATGATTACCCTAAACCATTGGTAGAATACTCTTTGGTTCTTTCGGTAAAGTCAGGTAGGTAGAAAATTAAAAGATCGCGACGTTTCGATCACAACACAAGCAATCGTCATCAGGTGGGACACCCACAGCAAGAAAAAAACTACGCTGTCACAAATGTGGTTATTAGCCAGTAATGAACTTTGTATTTTAGTTATTTCATCACAACAAAATTAGTCATTTTAAACTTCACCAGTTTTTTTCTTGCTGTGGTTGTCCCACCTGATGACGATTGTTTGTGTTGCGATCGAAATGTCGTGATCTATTATTTTTATACCTACGTGACTTTACCGAAAGAACCAACTGGATGGATTCCTGCGGTCACGAAAGCTTCAAATGAACATTGGTAGAATAATCCACTTTCCAATGGCAACAGCCAGATACTCCAGTTGACTTAGTATGGTACTATGTATCTATGTATTATACTCTTAGGTTGTTTCGGTAAAGTCACGTAGGTAAAAAATAAATAATAGAAATAATATGAGGCAACACAAGTCTCCGTCATCAGGTGGGACCGTCACAGCTAGATTTACTGTATCAAGATTTAGCTGTGACGGTCCCACCTGATGACGGAGACTTGTGTTGCCTCCGAAACGTGATTTATTATTTTATTTCTATAATTTCTATTTTTATTATTATTTATTTTTTACCTACGTGACTTTACCGAAAAAACCTAAGAGTATGAATCCTTGCAGCCACGAAAGCTTCAAATGTATAATCTATGTATTATGTTTCAACCCCTGAATTATAATGACCGATTCCACCTTCCAACCAAGATTTCTACTCGTGGCCTGAGTGTGACGACTATAAATGATTACCAAAACTCGAGACAATAGCAGCCAAGATAATATACACGATAAGCCCTTCAACTAGTGTAATTATCAACACAATGGCAACAAATAGAATTCTGTAAAATGTTGGAAGAATTCATCCTTTGTCCACAGGGCATGTGCGTCATTAGCTAATGCCGAGGCAGCTCTGAGAATTCTGCAAGGAACCCACGCTTTGTTTTGACCTCCCTACTCTTGATCTCTGCTAGGGATGAGTTTCCTGTGATTTTAAGCCCAATTTAGAATATTTTTCGGATCTCTCTGATGAATTAAAATGGTTACATTTGTATAGTTTAAAAAAAAACGTTTACAAATTCTAACAGGACACTCAATGAGAGCTTTTTTTATTTTAAGCAGCTTGATTCCATTTATCGATTACGAAAAAAAAATACGTGAACACATTTTCTTGCCTTTAAAAGCAAGTAATTGTTGGCCTTTTTGTCAAGGAGAGCCCTGATTATGTTCATTTGCAGAAAATATTTTGGTCAATTGACTGTTAAAATAAAGAGTTTTCTGGCTTCGAGTTTAAGAAAACTGAAGTACTTAGAGTAATCCCGCCACACACGTGGGAGATGCCAACACTCAACAGGGAGGCAGGGCGAGTTTGGGTATCCACGCTGCGCTGCAAAGTCTTTGTCAAAAACTTGCAGCCAAGCGAGTGTGGGGAGTTCCACAGCTTTACTTTTTAGTTCTTTCGGTAAAGTTACAGTAGAAATTTAATAAGAATAGAATACGACGTTTCGATTGCAACACAAGCAACCATCATCAGGTACAAATGAATGAGAAAACAAACAGTCAACTTAGAAATATAATGCAATACAACAGAGAGTCGGCCAACACAACAGTCAACACCCCAACTGGTTGATTACATTCTTCCAAAGATTGCTAAATTTGAGAGAGAGACAACGTCTCTGTATCGAGGTCATTTATGGACGGCCCCTAAAGCGAGGGAAATCTGTGAAATCTGTACTGCTGTGGTCACAGTTTCTGCTCTGGCTCCGTGAACTCAGGTGGCGGAGTGTGGCTGGTGCCACGCCTGGCCGCTTTTGTTTCCCCAGTACCGGGGTTATTGATGCTTACCAATAAATAGCACCAGGTCCACTACTCATTTACGGGATACACATACCGAGGTATACACACACACTTAGGGGAGGACAAAGGACCGGCTCAGACAATCGCCGTAGATGTTAACCCGTTGCTGGGAAATCGAAGTAAATGCCAACAACAGCAGCAGCCGTCAATTGTCACTAAGTGGGGGTGACGTCACTACGGCGCTTGTGCCAGGCTAAGTGCACTTTAGGGCCACGTGAAGTGTCGAACGCCAGCTGGCAGGAGGTCACGGGACAGACCTAGGTGCTATAGGTTGACTGACTAAGATGACTGGCTGATGCACCACCTGTGCCCCCTACTGTGCCAACCAACTTGCTATGCTTTAGCCACCCGGCGCTCCGCTCGTTGTTGTGAGCGTCGCTCCTCCGCCCTCCGTTGTTGCTTGGAGGGCGACTGCCTCCAGCTGCCCAGCAGCAGCGTCCTTCACGAGCCTCCTCCACAGAGGCCGATCTTGACACCGCTGGTACCAGTCATCGGCAAGTCCACTCAGCTCCACATCCTTCTGTACCACATCACTCCATCTCTTCTCTAGCCCGTGCCACGCCTGTTTTGCCCCATATATTCAGTAACGTGAGCGCACTCGCAAACACGCTGACGACAAGCGGCATCACAATGCCATTGCTTGCCACTCTTGCCGCACGCAGAGGTTGTGGAAGTCTGTGGATATGTGAGCCCACGTGGTTTTTAAAAAATCTGAATCTTTATCATAATCTCTATGCTGGAGGTCAGCAGGTCTTGCCATTGGCGTGCTGGTTGTGATTTGGAATCTGGAGTTATACTCCAATGCACTCTTTGATGAAATGAAAATACACCAAAAATCCATTGGTTTGTAATTTCAAAACACAGCCAAAATGTCCTCGTCGATTGCAGTTGTTAAAAGTTGTGCGCGGATGAGTGACTTTCGAAATACAGCCTGCCTCTTGGCTACACCGACCACCAGTTTAATCCAAACATGAACAATAGTTCGGCATGTTTGACGAGCTTAGCCAGCCGGTGTTTCCCAACGTGGGGACCCGGGTAATTAACCCACGCTTCTTCAAATTTGCCCTCACCAGACGTTTGCTTGGTCTCGTTTTACCAATACCCCGCGTTCGTCACCGTTTAAATATCCCCACCCAAATCCCTTGCCGCCTTTGTTGCCTCATTGAACTGGCAAGCCCAGGTGCCTCCCGCAGGCGACGTGCCTCGTGTAACAACTGCACGTTTATCCAAAGTGTCCACGTTGATTATTTTGACGAGGCTATGTAAAGAAAAAACTACGCACGCGTTGTATGTGCTTGGTTGCTGTGACACCGCTTAAACGGCAGACCCGTGATGTGAGCTAATTAGGTGACTTGGGTGGCTTAACACATTGGCTTTCGCGACCAATATCATCCATATTGTTGCAGAGTGGAAAGCAAGTTTTTTTGGGGCGAGATCGCGCAAATATTTACCCGATCTTACCCCCCAAAAATCCTATATTATGGAGTATGGATGGCTGTTTGGTGGTTATCTTCTCAAGTATTCTGCAGTGGTTCTCAGCCCTTTTTTTGCTGTGGCATCACCGCCAATCAAGACCACTCGAGTGGGACCCGCAGCATCGCAGTCAGCGCGTTGCGCTACCTTGGGGCCGTCCATAAATGACGTCCCACACCTAGGGGGGGGGGGGGGGTCAGACATGTGTGACGCCGTGTGACATGGGGGGGAGGGTCAAAACTCGTCCAAAATCGCGTGACGTCATTTATGGACGGCCCCCTACCGGGGGACCGGAGTTCCATTCCAGCTCACCGCCAACATCAGCGACGAATATCCGAACCTGTACTTGGCCTCCCCTGGGTCGACTCAGCCTTGCATGGTTGTGATGTGTAAACATCGCCACTGGGGAGACAAAGGCGGCCGGGGTGGGTGTTGGCCACACCGCGCCCTCATCGGTGCTCACGAACAGCACTTGCCCCAGCAGCCTGTTAAGGCTACACGGGAGATCTTTGTACACATTTGCTTGAGACTGTGCTGGTGTGATTTTCCTGGGTAAACAAGCATAAGTGTGATAGGGAAATGTCTCCTGCACGTAAATCACAACCTCCATGAACTAATCAGACACTTTTTTTTTTACTGCCCTGAAGTCAATAAATACATGTTCCAGATGAAGCACCCCCCCCCCCCTACATGCATGGAGTTTGTTTGACTAAAACCTTCTCATGCTGGTCAGTGAATTAGCGAAGTTGGGGAGCCCGCACACAAATGATGTTTCATAAATGCAACCACTTTTAATCCACGTACTGTTACACCACCACGAGCCTTAACTATTATAGAGGAATGTGTCCAACCACCCCAAAATAGGCCTGCCTCAATAAGTGCCATTGTGTCGAGATGTTAACTACCTCACCTGGTATACAGGTCATGGGTTCGATCCCGACCCTGACGCCAGCTGTATATTTGGAGTTTGCGTATTCTCCCCGTGGACGTGTGGATTTCTTTCGGTCCTCTGGTTTTTTCCCTCCACATTTAGAATCAACGTGCGTTTAATGTATGTGGCTGCTATAAATGTCCACGTGATAAACCACTTCAGTGGGCCTTACCTGGTAAAATAAAATGTTAATATTCTTGATTCTTTTGGTAAAGTCACGTAGAAGGGAAATAATAAAATAATATAAATATAAAACAATAAAAAATTCTCACGTTTTGCCTGTTAGGAAAAACCGCCACTTTTTTCAAATTTTCTTGCTGTGGATTTCACACCTGATGATGATTGCTTATGTTGCAGTCGAAACGTCGTGATAATTTTGTATTGTTTTATATTCATATTATTGTATTATTTCCCTTCTACGTGACTTTACCGAAAGAACCAAGGATATGAATCCCT